CACGCCACTTCAGTTCAGTTCAGTGTTTACAACCCTTAACTATGCACCCTCATGAGCCGGTTTTGGTTGAAAGCGCTCACAAGGTAGACCTTGCGAACCCGTTCTCGGGTTTGTTACGTTATCGTNTACACGGGGCATTCTCACAACAAACCCACACTGTGCGTCCAAAGGCATATGAACTTTACCCTTGGCCTTCCCTGGTTGTAACCAATCACGTGCATCACGCACACACACCGTACACAGTTACACAAACAATTAAACCTAACTAGATTTCTGAATATGCTTCATTTGTCTACGTTGTTCAGTATTATACGTACGCGACCGATGAGAGTATACAAAAGGAATTCCTCTCGCAGTGTTTGTCTTCTCGGATGCCTGTTCAGAAATGACTTAGCTGATAGTCAAGCGGTATAAGCCTCCGTCTATCAACTCCGGTATGTTGCTTATGGGTTCGAATCTGACCTCCTTCTCTCTCTCGTCTGACAGTGCTTGATTAAGGACTTCTCCACTTCGGAAGTTCATTGTAGAAAATAACAATAGCAAACGAATACAGTTGAGAAAAATACTGATTTTGTGGAAAAAATGGAAAAGTTTCATTATAGCAAGTCAGTACCATTTTATTTTAATTATGTTCCAGTGAACCAAGTTCGGTTGGAGACTTGGTTATTGTTTTCTGTGTTACAAAATGTGAGATGGTTCATTCTTTGAGTTTTACGTCATTTACCTTTGTTCCATCTTCCTCACTCACTAACGTGTCCACCTCAATCGCTCTTTTTTAAAATTCAACAGACGCTTTGGCAGCAATTGTGAATAATGCAGCCGCAAGTAAGTAGTGTCAAACGTGATTTGTAACAAAAGGGCGATTCCATTGCTGGTTTTGCGAATGCTCTCCGACGAAGAAAATTACTCTTTCCATTCGGAGAACAATGGTTGAATGCATGTATACATACACTGATAGTTCAAAACTTGCGAAATTCCCGGCTCGTGAGGGTTTCGAACCACTTTGGACGATCGATGTGCTGTGTTGTGATTCCATGCATCAGTTCAACATTTATGAGAGCAACGGAGAGTTTGATGTGGATTTATGATGAATTCGTTGTGTAAGTGAGCAGTTGGCTGTAAAGTTAGGAAGCACCGGGCATCTGTTTCGACCTGGTTGAGTTTCATCAGTCGTGCGAACCCATCGACTAAACTGGGGATCGAACCCGGGATCCCAGGAGATAGACCGCTATAATATTATTCACTCGGTCACTAAGCAGCCGATAAGACCGTCTCTCATTTTTCATATCGTGTATATTCAAAATGAGAAGCCGTCTGATCAGCTGCCCGGTGGCCGAGAAGGAAGTATGCTTGCATTCCGCAATTGAGGTCCCGGGTTCGAAATCCACCGTTAGGTAGATGGATTTGCACTGCAGATGAGACCTAGCCAGTTAGAAACAGTAATTCAGTGTGTACTATATAACCCCCTTGTTTGGGTGATTCTTATTTCATTACTTTACTTGCCCAAAACCTTATTCGACAGAAACGCGTCTAATGGTTTTTGAGAAATAATTTGTATTCAACTGGTGTATGCTTGATTTGTAATCCACATGAATTAGAATTACGCAATGCATATTACATAAAAACCGTTGAGTTAGTGTTTTTGTTCATAGATCAGAAGTATTGGTCTAATATGTCCAACGTTTGAGGTCTATTGCCGTCAAACTAGTGGTACGGTGATAATTCAGCTATCATTTAAAATCATGGCAGGCCGTTCATGCGGTTTACCAACACTGATTTCTGTGCTGGGGAACAACGTGAGCATTGCTCACTCCGCACAAGGCTCACACAACCATAGTTTATTCATTGCCCTGACTTCATTGTATGTAATGATTTCCTGAATGTCCAACGCTGTGTGCACAAGACCACAGGTTACTAATCCAAAATTCGATTTTTTTATTAACAGCTCCAGGCAGTAGGAAATTATTGCAACTCTCATAGCTGTTTCTATCGGTTTTATTGCAATTTTTGGTTGAGTTCTGATATTTAGATATTTTTAAACCGTGAGGAGACGAGCTTTTTATTCAGGTAATGAATTTAGTCTCCCTTAAGCTAATCATAGTGTAATTTGGAATGTGATAGTAGTGTATATGATGCGGAAGCCAAAACTGATGAAGTCTTTTGGAACTTGTTTTCTCCGCTTAGGTGCTATCCAACAAGGAATACAGCAGCAGCAACAACAACAATTACTGCAACAATTACAACAGCAAATGCAACCGCAAGCACAGCAACAATTAGCAAGTGAGTATCCGGTGTCACATAGTGTTTCAAACTGTACATCTCGACATAAATTTGCATCACCTAAATAAAAATTACTGTGACAAAACTCCATTTGAAAGAAGAAGATTAAATCATCCCATTGACCGATTGACTGACCGACTGACTGACTAACTGACTGACTGACTGACTGACTGACTGACTGACTGACTGACTGACTGACTGACTGACTGACTGACTGA